CCATTTAAAATTTAGAACACGATTTACATTCTGCAGTCCAGCTGCGGCAGCGCACTCAGTCTCTCAGATTACGCTAAGTATCAAGGTGTGGTACACACGGCTGGAGAGTGGGCAGCCACTGGGCTGTGACTGTGGCTGGGGCAGCCACTGGGCTGTGACTGTGGCTGTTCCCAGGGAGGAGTTGGGGACAAACCAGAGAAGTATAAACAGCTATGGCTCACTGGGCCCAGGGGAAATACTAACCATCGAGTTGGGGTTTTCCAAGTAGTAAGTCCCGTATGATCCTTATAAATAAAGCTGTTTACCACTTTACAATCTCATACAGGCTATGGATAAATGAATGATGACGAAATGCTACTGTGGTTAAGAGGTAGAACGTGGATCCTTAGCCCAGGGACAAGACATCTTTTGCTTCTAAACTTGATTTTTTTAGTTAGAGTTTATCATAGTAGGAGAGTAACGCACTTAGAAGTCAAAATTAGGGTATTAATTTCTGAACCATTTCTAATCTTAGCCATATTTTTTTAAATTTTTACTTCTCATAGAAATTTTGTATGAATTTCTGGCATAGTGATAAAGTGACATTACTGAACTTGGTAGACTTGTCACTTAACATATTTATTCTTTTGACTCATAATCTGCAAAATAGAATCTCAAGGCAGTTTTACTCTTTTTATTTGAGAACAGTGGTATTTTTAATAAATTAAAATGAAATTTTGGCCACTCAACTGAAATCTGCTCATTGCAGCATATAAAAGCACTTAAGCAGTCTAAGGTTCACCATCACAGTTTATATCCAAATGTTTTCACAGAGAAAATTATCAATTATACTTGACAATGTCCTTCATATGAGGTTCCACATCATAAATTTCCCCAAGAACTGAAACCTAGCAAATGTTATGAATTCTTTCATGACCTACAATCAACTCATCGCGCTGCCCTCTTTGCTGTGGCTTCTAGGCAAGCTTGAAGCTAATCTTGAACTATAGCACTCTTTTAAGTATAGATTTTGTAGTTGGTTAGTATTTATTGTTTAATTATTTTGTTGCATATTTACTATAAGATAATTCCTTATACTCTTTGTCAGTACAGTTGCCTTACAAAGAAAAAAAATGATTTTAACAGAAAACGCAAAGACCTTGTACAAAGGTAGGACCACAGAGTTAAGACTATATATATTGCTAAATTCACCTTTTTGGTAATCTCTGAAGAATGATAAACAATGGCTCATCTAGTAACTACCATCCACATCCAGTTTATAAAGGCTGATAATCTTTTGTTCATGTGCAAAACTGTGGAAGGTAAAGTAATGTTATTAAGATACACTTCTTAAAACTAAAATTGTCTTTATGAACAGGAAAACTTTCAGTAGAAAAAAAAGACAAATCCTCATTTCATAGTCACTGAGAACTTCAGGGTCTTATGTGAATGAATATGGTCAAATGGAGATGATGTGTCCACTTATTTTACAATTAATTATTCTGTATCAGAATCACGATTCTCACTTAGGTAACTGAAGGCATTTACACGCCAACGTTGTGCAGGATCCAGTGTAAGATACACAAATGCTAGGTTTAATGTTTTCAAATGTTGCTGATAGCCTTCTAGGAGACCATATTTCATTTGTATGATGCTGATGGCAGGTCATGGTGACTGACGATTACTCTGACTCCTGTGCCTGTCTGTTGCAGCAACAGATCACATAGCTCTCCTAAGATCAGGGCACCACCTCTGGGGTGGAGCATAAAGGTGCTCTGTAACAGTCTCCACGGGATTCATTACACACCACTCAGGCAACAAACATAAAAGATCAAGCAATCCCTAACTGGTTCTGGGTCCTAAAAGGACAACTAAGTGACAAAGGTAACTACTGTTCTGTTCTTCTTATTCAACAAGACAAACTGCAGATTCATTCAATATGTTATTCAATCGCAAGTAAGAATTATGTATATAGTTGTCATGTTAGAAGCTTTCTAAGATGGTAATTATAAAATTTGTTCACCATGAAAATTCGATTGAACCATCAGATTATTTTTCAAAATAATTTCAATTAATAGGGATTGGTATGATTAATATGGAGTATAAGGTTATAAATTTCTAGATGCCTTGATTTTCATTGAACTGGATACCTTTCTCAAACATTGTGACTTTCCATAGATGCCAGACTGAAAAATTTTCAAGATGTTGGTAAAATGCAACTATGCATCTTAAGTATCACAACACAATATATTCTTCCATCAAAATCAAAGTATTAGGAATATAGACATAAAATGATAATGAGAAAAATGACTAATTTTCTTTAGCTGCATCACCATATCTTATCATCATTCTACAAATAGAAATCAATAGAATAACACCTGTAATAATTAGAAAGCATTTTGACCAAACAGAATTCCTATTTGGTATGATTCACCTTAATGCAGGTAACCATACTTTATAATGATGAGATTCTCATTAACATATACTGTACTACACATTTAGAAGCCATAAACGGATTTTTAGAATACTATCCTTATTAAAACATCTTATGGAAGAGAAGCAGCAAACAAAGACACGCTATCCAACATTGATCTTTCACTGGTTCCCTCTTGGTTAGTATTTCAAATAGTGCTTTTCACAAAATGGCTTCCGTTGCTAACTGGGGCAGCCAAACAGTAACTAAAGGTCCAATCTCTCTGAAACTAAAATAAAAATTTATGCCATCTAACACATAACATACATGTGTTTTCTGCACAAATCTATAACACAGATTTGATAATAAGATCTATTTTGAAAAAACATGCTCACTTTATTGTTTTAAAATTCATCAATACAACTGAGAGCCTGAAAGCTACAATATGCTTGATTGTTTAGAATATAATCATAAACATATATATCGGCATTATATGTATGTATGTATATGTACATACATGCATTTATATAATTTTTAAAAATTAAGACTTACATGAAAGAATTTGGCAACTAATATCCTCAATGAGTGATTATACTTAAATACTAATTATTAGCATTTAACACACCTAAGATTTTTAAAATATAAATTAATAATAAAACCCTGCATTCTCTAAAAACAACAAAGGAGAACACATGCAAAATTTCTTTTGACCAAGAATGCATTTAGCCTGTTTCCATTGCTTACTGGCATGCCCACAATAGCAATTCCAATGAGTAAAACGTTCAAAGAAAGACAAAATACGACTAACACAATCCGAAATTACAGCATTTGAGCGAGTCATATAGTCCTCATACTAAACATTTCAGTACAAAAAAAAATCAATGAATATTCTTATTATACTATCTATGGTTTAATTAAATGTAATAGTTACAAAATTTTCCTTTTGTTATGACTGGATCAACCGCACCCTAGATGGCAGATTCGACACATGCAAAATCACAAAGATCTCTAAATTTGGCCTCTACTAGCGTCAGCTATCCACAATATCCCCCAAATAGTAGGAAGTTATGTAAATTAATGTATTTTATTGTCTCCATTATTCAACCACTATGCAGGCAGATTCTACCCTGACTCAGACCCCATATTTCTTACCATAGGCAGACAATGGTAGAGCTTCACATCATACCTGAAGCAGAATATAAGTTTGTGGATGTTCCTAACCAATTGTATGGCAGAGTCAATAAAAACAAGCGTATGTATTTTTAAAAGGCTCTAATGAGGTCTATGGTCAAATTGCAATACATATTGATTTAACTGGAACCACCTGACTATTCTGGTACCATGGTTACTACAATGCCTACCCTTTTTAGTTAGCAAATCACCATAAAAGAAACTGAAAATATTTTTTGTATGAATTACTGACCAAAAACCACTTGTGTTGGGTATATCCAACAGTGCTAGTAATTCTTTGAAAATAAAAGACAACTCAAGGTCAAATTAAAAATAACCAATTCCTCTTCTTTGCCTAACCGCCTCCCGCTCTCCTCTCAAAAATGCAATCTTATTTAATTAGTAGCATTTTTATGTTTAGATAATTATAAAATTGTTTAAATACATAGCAATATGGAAGATTTATTCTGCTCTAGAAAATATTATATTTGGAGGAAAGATAATCAGGAAAAGAAGCTTATGTGGTGTGGTTAATATGGCTGGATTTCAATGGGAAAAGAGGTATTTAGACCTACTCTATGATATGGTTTTATTAGAAAAGAAAATTATCTTGTTATTGTTATCAATTACTCTTAAATTTTTCTTTAATAAAATTTCACAGCAATCTAAAGAGGATACATTAAAGGCCCTTGATTATATATACCCTAAAGAATGCATTGTACTACAAAGATACATACCCAATAAGATTTTTTTTTCATCTGAAATTTATAAAGATAATTTTCCATGCTGACAGTGCACATTTCATCCATAAGTTTGAAGAGTCAAATGCTACCACAGCTGGGGGTTATTCTGCCAAATGGCTTCCAACAGGGACCGCAGAGATGGGGACATGTGCGTGTGCATGCAGGGAAAAGCAACAGACCTGATGGGAAATAGTCCTTCTCTGGGGTCATTTTTATCAATTATCATCTGAGTCATCTAATCAAATATATGGTCTAATGACAAAAGCAACACAAGGAAAGGAAAGCAAATGTTAAAACGGCTGCCTGATTACCTACAGAGATGAAAACAAAAAGAAAGCAGAGAAGCTGATATATTTCATAGGGATTTTTGAAGGCTGAGGGGAGGGGTAAGGGGTAGATACCTTAAAAAAATCCATCATGAAAGGAACTGAGACAAGATTATAAAAAAGGGGCCAAGTTATAGCGCGCCATGGGATTTTTAATCTGGCTACCTGTGGTTTCTGTAGTTAAAGCCTCATTCATGCCCCAAACGGGGGAGGGCTGGGGGGAAGAAAACAAACAAACAAAAAAATCACATTTTTATGTCAGTTTTGCAAATGATCAAACAGTGTGCATCGACAAGAATAAGAAGACATTAAATGCTGATGACTTTTTAAAGACAGATAGCCGTTTTATCAAATATTATTGATAATTACCTGTGCATCTCGTTTCTTGAACTCTTGAATTTGATTTTCATGCTCCATATTGGCAGCGCGAAGCTGTTTTTCCAGGTTTTCAATTTCCCGTTCATGGTCTCGGACTAGGCTATCCCTCTCTGCGTTATGCTGCTGTAATAGGTGCGTCTTCTCCTGTTCATGCCCCAGCTTCAGCTCTACTATCTGATTGGACAATGAGGAGGACAGTTCATCAACAGAGCATCCTTGTCGTCATGACAACTCATGTACAGCTTAATTTTTCTCTAATTTGTACAAGTCGAAAATTTTATTTTTGCGTCATTGTTGCCTCACCCTTGAAATATTCTCATTTGGTGGGGGAGGATTTTGCCCAGTCCTCCTAATATTCAAGACAGTTGGGCATATTCAATAAATCCTTGTGCAATCTGTTGACACAAATGTCTGAACTTGAAAAAAATATATACGTGGGAGGCTAGGTATTTCCTCCCTTAGAATTCAAACATTACTGATTAGCGATGGTTGTAAATGGTTAATAGTCAGTACGCTTTGCTTTCTGCTTAAATATATACATGTAAAAGCAGTAATTAAATCGGTCAGTTTTCATTTTAAGTTTCAAAGAAAAGATTTGAGCTTAATGCGCATCTGGATTATTGTATATACAGTTGTCTTTTAAAAAATAAAATGATACATTTCAAAGCTCTATTATCGCGTTGTCAGCTACGGTATACCAACATAAACAGATGTTATGTCTTCCAGAAGGCCACCTGCTGTGCTGCAAGCTTGCGCCATGATTTCATAAAAAGCATTCTATTCTCAGGATCCTTTCCCAGTCCACTCCACACTGGAGACTGTGACCTTGGCCAGTCTTAGCCTCTCCCTGCTAGACTGAATGGCAGCCGGAGACCAAGGGCCTGGTTGCCGCAGCTTTGATACTAATCCTCCCAGACTGTGCACAATGGCACCCTACCTGGCCTGCAAACTATAGCCAGCCAGGCTGTCTTTGAAGCAGGTGATGAATAGGGGACTGCAGGAAGCCAGCTTCCCCAGTGAACTCCAGGCCACACAGCTGCTAAGAACAGTCACTTGGATTTTTCTTCAGTTTTGGTGGATTTCAGGGGGAAAAACTGCTGTTATCTAGAATATGTTGTGTTATTTTTGGCGTGAGAATCCATCTTCAAAAAAAAGCTAACAGTAGGAGCCTGTTCCAAATCGATCTTGCTTCACGCAATGAATCACCAGACGACCTTATCTTAAAGCTACAGCATTCATTTCTGCAGGCATGCGTGCTGCACTAAACTTCACAAGTTATTTTCATATTAAATTTGGAAGTACCACCTCTTAACTGCAAATCAAGAATCAAGTCACATTTTGAATTTGCTGTAAAACATAAGTTTTAACAAACTTTCTTCCTATGATTTTTCTTAGATATGAAAAATCAACTGCAAATTTCTAACAATTAACAAATGTAGCATGCTAGTTAGATGAAAGAAGAATGTGCCAACTCAAACATACACACTTATTAGAATAAAACAGTGCAAAAATAGTATGGAAAATGGATTTTGCATCTGAGAATAAAAATGTATAATAACGAATTTTTATTTATTTAGCATTTAGGATTTCCCTCCCTGTATTACACCTCTGTTGGCAATGTGCAGAAAAAACAGTATAAACCTTTTTAAGGAATATAGAATATCAATAACTTTCAAAAAGTATCTTTCTTTGATAATTTAAAATAGATGCTATATTTTATTCAGTGATTCACACAACTTCAATGTTAATTCCAATAGAAGAGAAAATTTAAAATGTTACTGACACTGTAACATTTTTTCCAGGCAGCTAGGTATACAAATTCTTAAGTCTGAATATTTTTAGTTCTTGTACTTGTTACTATTTCCATTTTATATTTTGTTATCAAGCATTATTATAATAAAATTATAATATTTGGTCAAAATCAGTTAAGTATGCAATATTATGAGGGAAAGTAGAGGAAGTAGGAAGTTCATTAAAAGTCTCAGAAAAATTGGAAGAAGGAATGGGACTTAAAATTGATAGAAATATTTTATAATATTCCATGGGAAAGTGCCTTGATTACTCTGTGATTATAGATCTTCCCTCCAAGAAGACACAAGCAGCTGATTGGACCTTGCTGGAGGTGAAGTAAGCTAACACTGCCTCTTGGGAGGCTCCAGGATCTTTCTAAACTGACACATCTGAAATGTTCTTATAGACTGATTGGTGATGCTTCCTTCCCATGTTCAAATTTCAGCTTAATCATTTTGTAAAATCTAGAAAAAGCAAAATCGTGACCATGGAATTTCAAGCTTGAAGGTAGAGACTCATACATTTGTTATTTTTTCAGAGCTTTTTGCTAAGAGACTGATCTCAAGGGTGCGGAGGCCATTTAGAGTGGAGCAGCTCACCACAGAGCTAACTTCTCAATGTTATCAGCCCTTTTGGGTCTTACCTAGATTTGCTCACTATAAGCACCCTCTAGTCAGGGTCCTCTTCTCCAAGATAATGGCAGAGTCCAGAAGAAAAAGCCTGAAGTTCAGGGGGCACCTTGGAGATGGTACTCAGAGCTGCCCAACTCACCATAAAGGCAGATCTGTACTTCATTGGGTTCTAACTCTTGTACACATACAAATGTTAAAATAATTCCTTTGGGTCTTCTGAGTTGATCCTCTGACAAAATGAAGTAGCATATCTCCCATGTCTTCAATTACTAGATGGTCATGGTTGGACAATATTAGTGTTAACTAGAGTTAATGGCGACTGAGGTGGTGAATTATGGAACATAACGAGGGTGGAAAATCAATAAGAATCTTCAAGGATGAATACTCTGTGATGATTGAACCTCTGAAAGTTCACTGGAGTTTAGACCTAAAACGTATATTACAGAGAGAACAGCATGCAACATCATGAAGGATCCTACTTAAACAAGACTGGCTCAGCAATACCCATAGAAATACAAGGACACTTCAAAAAGTACACAGAAAATACAATTTCAAAATAGGCTTATTTTGGCACAAAAACACTTTTGAAATCCTGCAGAATTTTATCACAATATTTTCAAAAACCTTTTGAGGACCCATTTGGTACAGGCAGAAGACTTTGTGTTTACTATTACAAAAGCACTGAGCTGTGGACTAGTTGACCATACTGGATATACAAACCACGTCTGCCAATGGCAATAGAGGCCATCAGCCCTAACGTGTAAGCATCTGATACCATGGAGCAGTTCCTAGGAACTGCTATGTTGACCTGTATGAAGTTACCATTTTTACAGGTCAAAATGAAATAAATAATTGTCCTGTTTTACTCACAGATAAACCCTAACAAATTCTGAATCTGAAGCTCAAGAGTAAAGTTTTGATGTTCTGAAAATCATGGCCCTCTATCACAGGCCCAAACACTGTACACTGTATTATGATATCTTCATTTCAACTTAAATTTCACATAAGTAGCCAAGGGGCAGGAGAAAGACAAAGAAAGAAGTATCCAACATCTGAATGTCTGTGGGCCTGGGAACACATATTTGAAGTCCTGGCAACTGTTTCACAATGAAAAAGTGTTACCTATGACCTTGATACCTTCTAGTGACTATATAAAGAGTCAAAGGGGATGGATACAGTCACTACCTGCCAACCTGTAATATGGAAGGTGAATAATTCCCATTAAGACACATCAGTACCAGAAACTCCAACACCAGTAACCCAAATGACAGAAGTGGCAGAACTACTGAAACTAATTGAAAAGCAGGAATCAGGGCACAAAATTCTAACTAAAACAACCCCAATGGTAACCAAATTACAAAATCTATGTTCTACAAGCGTGAGTGTGGAACAAGTTAAAGATTAAAAAAGTGGTAAGCTTCATGTTCGCTTGCTAGGAAGGAGGACAGAGCAGAAGCCTATCATTAGCAGCCCCAGGGGTAAGTCTGTCCTACAACTCAATGACAACTGCTGTGAATATAAGCAACTAGGAACAGGAAAGCTTGAAGGATTGTAGAGACATAGCACAAAGTTAATCTAGAAATTCTCCCTTGAATACACTGATTGTGGTTGCTCAGCTGCCACAGTAGTGATTTTAGCTATGGGAGCAAATCCACATTCCCAGGCAAGCAATGTCTCATACTGAACACACTTAGCACTGGAACTTCTTGGTAAAGAATCATATGGGAAACTGAAAATTCTGAAAACAATAAAAACAAAACATTAAAAACAACACTAAAGAACACTTCCGGGCAGCAAACAGAGAGAGAATAAGGAATGGGACCTTGTCCATAAGTTTCAAAAGTTGATAGTAAATGAAAGAAAAAAGATTCTGACCTTGTTTGCTGTGTCCACATACTGCAGAAGCACAGGTAGTGAGTATGATGGGAGGACATATTTTCTATACCCAATTTAAGAAAGAGATGACAGATGTATATTTCATATTTCCCTCTTCTGCCTAGAATGGGCATAAAGAGGTTCAAGGTATGAAGAAAAATGGCTTCAGGGAAGTGGAGAATAAAACTTGAAAAGTGGGAAGGTAAGGCTTATTCCCTCTGATAGATTATAATATTTAGAGCTCCCACAAAGTCACATAAATCAAATATCCTCTGATACATACAGGAAATCTAGGTATAGAACCTTGTAACAATGTGAAGAGACACAGCAGATATCAATTCTTACAAAAAAAAAAAAAAACCATTGCTCAGCGCTCAGCTTCTGGTTAAGCACTCCTACTCCAATCCTATAATAATCTCAAGCTATAGGAAAGAAAGATAACCAAAAAAACTATGTCCCAAACTGCAACTTAGAGAGAAAAACATGGAAAATAATTGCAAAAAAGTATTCAAAGGGAATTGATGTTTATAACACCAGTATAAACAGACCTATTCACAAATGCCCATTTAAATCCATGCAAGATGAGGGAAAAATGTGTCTGAACAATTATAAAAAATCACATTCCATGTGAGCTGATCCACTTCCCATCCAGCTCTCTTGCTAATTAACAGTCTGGGGAAAGTAGCACAAGAGGGTCCTAGTGTTTGGTTCCTTGCCACCCACATGGGAGACTTGGATGACGCCCCTGGCTTCAGCCTAGCCCAGCTCTGGCTGTTATAGCCATCTGGGGACCGAACAAGCAGATGCAATGTGCTAAGGCTCTTGGGCAAGCCATGGAAGATGGTCTTAGAGTTTCTGGCACTCACATGGGAGACC